AGGTTGAAGGTAACCTGAAATTTCTAAGGTACTATTGCTATTCCACAAAACCAGGAATGTCCATTACAGTCAACTTCAAGCTATAAAAAATACTCTCAATTCTGTCTGCTCCCATCAACAATGAGACCAGAAATATGCAGGAAAACAATTCAAATGAAGATCACTAAGCACAACTATGTTGTGCAGAATGTTTGTGTTCAGTTGTCACAGAGGCATCTAATATTTTAAATTCCTGCCACAGTTTCCCAGGCCAGAAGACTACTAATGGAAGAAAACCTGTGAAAGCATGTTTTAATTTTCCCCTGCTGAAATACTAAAGGATGGTACAAACTTTTTAAACCAAATTCAGCTGGCCAGTGTTTAATTGATGTCTGAAAGTAAAAATGGGACTACATTTTGCATTACAGACAAATGCTTTCTTTAAAGTCTAAATGATCGATCACATTTTTGTTCTATTAACTCAAAGTTTTAAACATTCTTAGAATCCAGAAATTGAATTTACATATATTTCTATAAGAGTCATCAATGACTAGCTTCACACTATTATAAACTATTTTTAGGGACTGGGGTCATATATCAGTAAACACAAGTAATACACTATTAATCTGATTTTTTAACCAAATTATTTAACGATTTTAGTTTTTCTGCAGTTTTTGAAATACAAGAATAACAAAATATCTATCAAATCTATCTCTATCAGGTACCTTACAAAAGGCATTCTCTCCATCTAGCCTACATATGGCAAAATTTAAAGGATCACTTTAAAAAAAATCACAATCACTGCATACAGTTTTATAGAAAAGGAAAGCACTGAAAACTGTCAGTAAAAAGAAATATATATATTGTAAACAACAGAGCTATAAAATCTGAAGGTGAGACCTTCTGTTCTATGTACCTTATTCACAGTAGGAAACTACTTTCAGCACCTGGAAAGGCTGCATGTGTATTTCAATGCCATCTGATGGACCTTGCTTAGTAACATTTGTTACACTGCTGAGCCTAACAAGCTTATTGCTATGCCTTTCTGATGGATAGCTGCCAAAATCAGGATGGAAAGGCAACTTCTATCATAGGATGATACCTAGACTTTGCAAATAAACTTTACCTGAAAGAATTCCAGTAAGGAAGCGTGTATTTAAACTGTTTTTATTGTGTATTATAAAAGCATGTATCTTCTCAGTCACAGAAAATACAAAATCAAGTTTGTTAGATCCTAGGTTATTTATCAACATGCTGAAAAATGCATGTCGATAATTTATATTCAATCAAATAACACTGATCTGAATCAATGCATTTTCTCTTATATAACAAGAGTAAGATTAACTAAAAAACTATAAAAGGCCTTTCTTCTCCCGTTTGTATTGTGAAAATCAGATTAATTTCCGTATTCTTCCAAACCAGTATGCCCTTTTTCTGATAAATCCACTGGGCATCACCTAAAACCTTAGTGAATAAATACCCTCCCTGCAGGTATTTATCTACATTGATGATAACCCCCTGAGCCTTCTCTTCTCCAGGCTGAACAGTCCTATCCCTCTCAGCATGTCTTCACTGGAGAGCTGCTCCAGTCTCCTCATCATATTTGTGGCTCTTTGCTGGACTCTCCAGTATGTCTGTATTCTTTTGTGCTCTGGATCCCAAAACCGGACACAGCACTCTAGGTGTGGCACAATGCCAGCGAAAGCTCTACAGATTATGAAAATGGTTTCCAGTGAAAAAGGCAGGTTATTTTTAATGAGTGGTGAGATTGGAACTCCAAGGCCTGGAAACACTCTGCCCCTCTGAAAGTCAGCTGTACAACCTGGCTGAGTTGCAGCTCCCTTCTGGCACACAGAGGTGAGTATTTATCAGTTTCTTCCTCACTTCAGGAGAGAAAAGGCTAGATGCATGGACTGGGAGACATCTCAGTCCACAGTTCTGAGAATCAGTTGATCATAATCACAGGGTATGCAGAGAAGTTAATGAAACTCCAATCCAAACATAAGTCACTGTTCACCTTTTTTTTTTTTTTCCCTTTATGTAACTCACTTGTGTATTGCCTATATCCTACAGGCATCACCATGATCACCACTTTCTGTTTAAGTTACTGCTTACTTTCCTCATTACGTTATTACTGCTAATCCCAGAGCTACCTAGCCATTCATCCTGTCAACTCGGCTTTGATTTCATTACTATCTTCCTCTTCAAGCTTACTACAGCTTCTCAAAAGTACATTAATTTTTCATCTCCTTTACAAGCCAGTACTTACTGGTTTATCTTGAATTTCAAAAGCACAAAATGAACCACATTAACATCACAGAAAATTTAGCATATACCAGCTGCCTTTGATTTTAATAAGAGAAAAGGGGGGAATCATTGAGTTAACCTGATCAGGATTGAAGGCAATTAGCATATACCCTCTGACACATTTCCTGTTTTATGATGGCATGATCCCACCAATAACATGGGTCTTAAGCCCACCTCCAGATAAAAAAAAAACAAAACAAAAAAACAAACAACAAAACACCAGAATTGCTGCATTATTTTCAATTTCAGTTTATAACCCATGCAGCAACGAATACCCTAAAGCAAATTTAGAACATGGTTATATGCCTTTCAAATACTATTTATAATGGGTATACTGATAGACTCTAAGCAACACAGTCAGTGCAGTAAACCACTAAGACACCCACCCTTTCTTCTCTTTTTTTCCCCCCAAGTACTGTGTCTATTCTGACTGCATGGTGAATTATAGGTTGCAACCTTAGAATGCACCGTAACTGCAGTTAAGGATTACACCTTCTACTCTAAGCTCTAATAGGTTGGAATTTTTACTTTTCTGTACTACTTCAAATTATAACACTGCAAATATTTTACCTGTACAGAAATTATATATATACAAAACCTTTCTGTTTTCTTGATGCACTAAGGACTCAGATTTATACCACAATGTTATTTCCGTGCCTTCAGGGAATATTACACTTTCTTAATTTCTGTAAGGAATGTCAGACAGAAAATAGTCAAGCCACATTTGTGTCAAGTCTGCCATTTTTACTTATAGCAATCAACTCTAAGAAATTTCTCCTTTAGCTTGACAAGTGCATACCTATCTTCCAATTTATTTTTTTTATGCCACAACTCATAAAATTGTTTAGGCTGATGCTAGTCCCTTGCACTAAATTAATAACTAATCACAGGAGATATTTATCATCTCAATTTTTTTTTATATGAGAATTGTCAGACTTAATCACCCTCCTCATATTTTCACTATTTAGAGAGCTTCATTTATCATACCTTTCAGCAGTGTGACAACAGTGGACTATTTTTCCCAGTTCTCAAGTATGCAAAGAAAGATAAAAGAGTGGCAAATCACAACAGGCTGAAAGCTTTACTCTTTCCAGTAACATTGATTTCAAACAGAAAATCATTCCTAAAAACTATTTAATACTATCATAGAAATAGATGTAACAGGCTAAAACATGGACAGTTAAATGGACAGTTACACTGATACATTCTAATTTTTACCATTGGTTAAACTTTGCAGACATTATGAGAGTGATCTGTTCCAATCAACTGTTAGCAAAAAATAATTTATTCTATAACAATGCCAAAGAAACGGTTCTCATAAGACTTTATAAAGTGGGTTCAGGGCTTATAAATGGGAGCTGAAAGGGCTAACTCTGCCAAGGATAATGATTTGGGGGATGTATGGAACCATACCCCTTTTTTTTTTTTTTCAAATCGCTTGCAGACTGGACTGTGAAGTAACATAACATTTAAAACAAAGTTACACAGAACGGCAAAAATGTGTGGCCACAGCTAGATTCTGCAAGAAATACACCTCACATTCCTGGGCATCTATGATGCCATTCTCACACAGTATTGTGCAATAAGAGGAATTATGAACATCTGTTTTGATAATCACAGTAAGAATCATGCAACTTCACATTTTAAGGATAAAACCTGACCCACAGAAACCTGCTCTTACCTATGAAATGAAAACCACTGCACTGAGTGTAGATGCCAATGTGCTGGCGGGGGGTCTGCAGGGTGGTTGGGGCTGCCCTGGTTGGACACAGCTGAGCTCCTCAGGGAAATTAAAAATGGCAAAATCATTCTAAACCAAACCGCACCAACACGAACAGGGGAAGGGAATACAAAGAGCAAAAATATTCTACTATATTTTTAATTGGCAATAAATTAATCTTCCCTAAGCCAACTCTGGTTTGCCCATGACAATAACTGGCGAGTGACCTCCCTGCCTTTGTATCAACCTATGGTGCTCTCCACCTTATTTTCTCCTCCTGTCCTGCGGGGTGAGGGGACTGACAGAGCAGCTGGATGGGCATCAGGCAGCTAGCCAACATTAACCCACTGCTCTGGACTAATCACAAATAATTATTTTTTTGCAATCACTTAAAAGAAAAAAGACCCAGAATTTTAAGGAGATCATTTACCAAAGCATGCTGATTATCTCTGTCCAAGTTCTATGCTTTATTTTGAAATGTAAAAGCCAGCATTAAATAATTTTACAAAACAGATCTGCAGGGTGAAGCAATTTTTTTTATAAATTTAATTAAAAACTATGATATTCAAAAGCATTAAGTAATTTTAAAAGTAAAATTAATTTGTGTTACATTATATAACTTTTTAATGCAGTTCAGGTTTCTAATGTAGCTGACTAAATAGCTGATAAATATGCAGAGAACTCAAAGGAGATCATCTTTCAGATAACACTGAAAAGATGAAATTAAATTAGAATTAAGAAATGCTAGTATTCACCTAGAATGATTCATAAAAAATACTATATAAAAGTACAGTTACTTTTCTGGAAGGCTCTACTATATCCTGAATTCTAGATTATACAAAATGACAGGAATAAGAACCACTGATCCTGAAGCACATTTCCACCTCAGTCAGATCAAAGATGATAAATACAAAGATGCTGCATTAGCATTTGTGGTCACCATACATGAAACAAACATCTGCCCCTGCAAAATTATAGAGCATAGTGACAGCTCTATACATATTTTTAGCAGTAATTTTATTAAAATAATTTTCACACTTAAAATGCAGAGACTTATAGTGCCAGGAAGAGAAGACTAATTTGATTATCTTTCTTGAAAATGATTTTAGCATTCACTAATCCTGCATGTTATAAAAAACATACTGTAAGAGCTGAGCTACTATTCTGATGCTTATGTTTGCTGATGAAATGTTGGGGCATTCATATACACCAGCAGCTCTGAGACTAAACACAATCAGCTAATCACCCACTGAGATCATCTTCAGCACTGTGTCCTCCATGCAAAACACATCCAGACCTTAGCAGACACTCCCAAGGCTGATTACATGGGTTCATGTGAACTCATGATAGGCAGTCAACACACATCATTTAAATACTTTTCTAACTTATGGAAGGCCACATTAACAATTTATTCTGCTAACTAACAACGCAGAACTCCCTATATGCTCTATGACTACAAGTATGATGCCCAATCCTGAGAAAATGTTGCTGCATTAGTGACCCAGCAGAACAAAGTATATGAGCCTCTTCAAAGCAGAAAATGTTCCTTTCTCCTGACTGTGCTGCTGCACAAACATTTTGGCATCCAGGCTTATGGTCTGGCCTTCAACCATCTACCACGTTTCCTTTGAATTTCTTACATACTTTGACTTCCTGACCCTCGTTGAAATCTGTATGTCAAAGTTCCTCCACCTTAGGCTTCTCACAAGTCTTTATCACTAGAGTATGGGGAGACTGTCTTATTACAGCATTTACTATGGATTACCCACCATGATATTTCATGAAAGCACTGTACAGAAGGCCAGTATTCTCAAAAGCAGTATAATTAGAACAAAACCAGACTTCCCATCTCTGCTGAAAGCTCAGGGAGGTGTACATAATGCTTATCTTCCCCACATCACTGATCAAAACTCTGATGGCAGTTAATGATAACTACTACAAGTTCACCAACCAGTATTACTCGCTGTTTTACTGTGCCATGCAGATACCGCATATTTGCCTCGAAGTCGCAACCATAGCTTACTCTGAACAACCTCCAGATGTTCTGCAAATCTCCAAAATAAAAAATAAAAAATACCCCCAAATAAAACTCATGTTGCCTTAAGTCATCAATAAATTAATATTTAGTTTAAAGTAACTTTGGTTTTTACCCAAGGTAAGCACCTGAACAATCATGCAAGCTTCCAAAGGATCACTAATACCCTCAAAGACCATACAGTAATACTCTGTTGAACTAGTGTCCACACTGATTAAAGCCCAGTGGATGTATCATGGTTTTTTATATTTTTCAGCAATTCCTAATTCAGCATTTAAGAGGAGTAGAAGAAACAACTTTATTCAGTTAAGACTAGTTTTTACAGCTTCATCTCACTTTTAAAAGAGGAAGAATACTTGAATTACCAAATACCTGCCCCTGAATAAGATTTGACAAATGCATCAGTTATTTTCTAAAATCTCTCTTTGTTTGCTTTTATCTAGAGCTAATTTGAATAATTAAACTTAAATTTGTAGTCAAGTTTTACATGTTGGGAAAGTACTGACAGATATGACCAGAAATAAACACAAAATCGAAGAACTACGGAGACAAAAGTCAACAACCTAAAAGTCAGATCTAACATCAGGTCATCTGTAATTGCTTGAAAAGGTTTCATTTTCTTGTTAAGCTTCATAATTCTAACTATATTCAACATGAAGTTTTACAGCTTTATGAATATAATGAAAATGTATACTTTTTATTCTAGTAATTCTAGTAATTTCAAGAACTGTTTGACATCAGTTTGGATGACATTTAACAGACTATCCTACTCAGAATGTTCAGGCAGAAAGGTATAACATTTCTAAGCACTTTAATTAAAACCTGAAAAGTGATTGTCTTTTAAATGCATATTATTATTCTTCTTACTATTTCTTCTGACTTCTTAAAGTTTTCCATTACAGTAGCCTGATTCTAAATATGAAAATATGTATATGTCTCTAAAGACAGAGAGATATGAGGCAACTAAATGCTTTTATAACCACAGTGAAATTCAGATAAGGGTCTGACCTAAACCTACAAAATCAAAAAACAGTCTTAAGGCTAAACAGAGCTATAGTCAAAGTTCAATGGTACTCCCTATTTAACAAATTTCAATTTTAGTATTTTTAGAGTATTACACTTTCACCAAAGTTTAAGCTCATTTGCACTTTAGAACACCCTTAAAGACTTCAGAAAACTTTGAAAGAGAGTGTGTTAGAAAGAAATTTGTAACCATAAGGAAGAAGTAAAACTGCTAAAACAGTCTATTTCTTTTTGTTTAAGGAACAAGTTAATACCCTGAGGTAGTGGCTTTGCTCAATTTTCTCATTTTAAAAGGAAACTTCTGCTTCTTCAATTCTCAATATTTTTCATTTTTCATCTATGTAACTATAAAGCCTCTGTGTGCATTTACTTAATCTCTACTTGATAAAAAAGAGGGAATAAAGAATAGGAGGCATTTAGGAAAAGCTAAGGTAACACCTACTTACTCTTTCAACCTCATTCTAGACAGTCTCTTTGCCAAAAACATGAAGGATTTGTTCTTTCCAAAAAAAGATATTAATTCCACTACTTAACCCAAAAGCAGTTCATTTTTTCCTTATGTAACCAAAAATATTATTTACTGTTTGTATTCATATAATTTTTTTAAAATCCTGGCTGACTACTAAAGGAGTCATAACTGCAATTTTACATTTCAATCAGACACAGTAAAGAGAACATTCTCATGGAATTTACAGGAAACAGATTAGTGCTGCCATTCACTTATAATTAAACTTTTCTCCACTAACAGAAATATTCACTCGATAAAATATGTGTTTAGATGATTTACCCAAAACAAGCAAGAATAAGCATGCAGAAAAGAAAACGCTTCTTTTCAGTTATTTCCTCCACCCTCTGAGCCATAAGGATTTTCAACGCTTTAGATCCTATAACCAAGTTACCTGTCATTAATGATCCAGTTCAGACACAGATTGAGAGAATTAAGGTTTTTGCATCTCTTTACTATTTCCATCACGGTTTCATTGTCCAGTTCTGTGATATGACGCAGATCCAAGCTGGAAAGATTTCTTAGCTATTGAGACAAAAATGATAGAAAGAAATAATCTGAAATTGTTCACTGCATGACTGTTATAAAACCTGTAAACTTTTTGGAATCACATACAATATGTGCAAAATAGTCAAGAAAGATAAGATTACTATATTTTCCACAAGAAGAAAATAAACACTAATAGAACCCAACTTTAGCAAATTTGGAATTCAGGCACTCAATTATTCTATGAAATCAAGACATTCCCACTCATGGACTAAACCACCTACAAAAGGGACCTAGGCCTTCCTCCTTTTAGCCATATGGAATATAAATACCAAGGTAACATATCAACTTATTTAATTGTAAGAAAAACATGGCATCAAAGGAACACATCTGTGCTTAGATTCAAATGCATGTGATTAAAGACTCCAGAGTCTGAGGCTTTCAAACTAAGTGAATATTACAAACTCCTTGGAAAATACAATATTGATACTGTAGTCTTACCTGCTCAGCCATCAATACTAACTTGGATATTCTGAACAACAAAAGCTGTAGTCACAGAATAATATGATTAAGATTTATGCACTGATTAATCTGATTTATTACTACTATTAATCACTAAAATGTCCTTAAAAAGCAAACAAAAACGTCTTACTATTTTTATGAGCTATGGACTCAAAGGAGAAAATTTTTACAGATTTTTGCAGTATCCTTAAATAACGGAACAGTTTAGTTATAGTAACTTCCAAGTGCTGTTTGCGTTTTAAGCTGTCTGAAATAATCTTTGTTATACTCTAAAAAATAATTGCATTAGGTAATACTGACACCTTAATTAAATTTACTTTCCATGTAAGAGAGAAAAAAATAATCCTATTCAGTGATTTAAGTCACAAAGGATTTGATTAAGTAAAGGCATACAACTGAGATCATATAATCGGTCCACTTCAGTAGCTAATTAATAAGTCTGTATTTAACAGAAATTACTTCTACAGAAATTGGTGGTGTGGTATTTTGTTCCAGAAGGTTTAACATTCTTGAAACTGAAGCTGAAGATAAACCATTACTGCTCCCAAAAATCCTGCAGAACAAGCATAAAATTAAGGAATCTGACCACCGAGAAACAACTGCAGGGTATGTCTACAGGACAATAACGTTCCTATTATTAGGATATTACCACAGGTGTACTGTGGAGGTGTTTGTGTAATCCCATTGAACTTCTGATTATCTTATTTGCCTATTAGGAAGAAAAGCTCATAATGATTGATACTGCATTGGTAAAATGAACAGATTTTTACAAGCTCTGTCTCTCTGCATTTTACAGATACTGTTCCACCAGGAAGTTTAAAGGACTTACCTGCTAAGCACCCAAAAAAAGCTCACAGCCTACCCCTCATTTTTTCTGCATAAATTACAAAGAGAAGTGGAAACTTAGAGCAACTTGAATTTTCTTCATCTTCATACAGCTATTCACATTAGATACTTCATCCTTTATACCATGTTGGCAATAACATGGCCAGTGCCTATGACATTGGGAATATACCTACTGGACAATGCAATAATGCATATGTTCTATGACAGTAAACAAATATTTATCAGGAGACCTCAAAGACAAGTAAAAACTCTTCCCATTTAAAAACAAACAAACAAAACCCCACAAAAAAACTATAAAAAGCACACAGAACTTTTAACTAAAATACGCTTTCTTTAAGGACCACACTCTTCTTATGAGCAAGTGAGATTCTTCTTTCAGTATTATTACTTCCAGGTTAAAAAAGCTGGACTTACATTAGGTCATTGCTTTTTTTAATAACAGTTTAACTAACGTGGCTTCGAATTAGGTAAGAGATAACAGTACAGTATCTACCTCACTGAGACAATAACAGATACAGAAGAAAGAATTTGTGATTTCCCAGGGAAAAAAAAAAAACAAAAACCAAAAAAAGCCCCCAAAACCACCAAAAAACCACCCCAACAAACCTAATGAAAAAACATCACCAAAAAAAAAAAAAACCAAAACAACAACAACAACAAACAAAAAAACTAAAAACCAAATCACAACACTTTTGCATTGTATGAATAGACTTAAAATTGAAACTGAATTCCTAGTACTCCACTTGACCGAACTAATAGTTTCCAAGGTAGATTTTATTCTTTACCCTTACCAGAGAATTATCATTCCCTCCTTGTTTCTTTCCCTCATTCTAATAATAGTCTACAGTTATATTCAGTATACAGTAACTCAACCATCAGTTGCCTTTTTTACCGTCACATTTATTCCTTTTAAACACCCTACCTGACACCTGACCTACTTGGTAGGTAAATTCTTCTTTTTATTAGGCACAATGTACACGATCCAGAAAATCTTACTGTCTTAGAAGTTTGAAGAGATGGCTTAAACTGATACAAAGTCCTGAAGTATAATTTGATCTATACAACCTCACTATTGCCACTTCACATAACTGACTGACTGTCAAGATCTGCAGAACTGGATACACATTTCCCTAAGTACTGGACCTTCTGAAACAACATTGTATCAATCTGAACATGATAGGGGAAAAGAATACCCCTCTACCTATTTAAATCAGTGGTATCAGCATCTTACTACAGCTCAAAGAACTGCTACAAATGTGTGTGCAACCATTTTTCAATTAAATTGACATTAATGTCCTATTTTAAATTTTACCCGAAAAAGTAATTGTAAGGGGATAATGCTACAGTGCTTATTCCTTTATTAATCACTACTATTATAAAAAAGTGGCAAGAAAAAAATACTGAGTTCTATATTCTACCTCCAATTAGACAAGAAATCTGGAGATAAAGAAACCTATCTTTAATCAGCATTTTTCCAAGGGAAAAGGATATTCTGTGACATAAATACTTAATCTGAGGGCACAAGGATGAACAATCTCTTGTGTTTGGATTGTTGGGGTTTTTTTGTTAATTAAAATCAATTTTCTTCATGCAGCAATACCATTTTATTGAGCAATTTGAGGGCCATTCTTCTACGGATATTGACACTTTTCTTTAATTCTTAATTTTATAGCTCAACAAAGAATGCTCAGCTTGAGAAGAATTTAAACTTGGAACTCAGGTCCAGCAGGCAAAATGTTTTAACTGAAAAAGGAATACTTAATGCAACAGTAAAACAGATGATGCAAATAATAGGCAAGGGGCTTAAAAATATGAAATTAAAAAAAAGAGAAAGGAAGAACAGTTAAGCAAATTGTATGCTACTCATATACACAACTTGTTGAAAGGACTAAATATTGATTCAGTGTTAAAACTGTATGAGACTGTGTAATAAAAGCATTCACATTTTAGAGTGAGTGTAGTTAGATGATAGGGATTAGAACGGAACACAGTACTGGTCCCTTCCCCTCAGTCCCACTTAACAGACAGAAAATTGACAGTGCAGGATGCAAAGGTTTTGTGAGGAGATCACCTATTAAGATGTACTGAAAGGGATTTTTATCAGTGTGAATGACAGATGCAAAAGAACCGCTTACATCACAGAATGGTTTTGGACAAAGAAATTTTGAAAAACAGAGCTTCAGATACTTTTGTTGGTTGGTTTAAATGAAATTTTATGGAGGTTGATATATTTAAAGATTCAGAGATTATCATACTATTTGTGTGCCTGAATGTTATGGAATTCATAAGACTTCTGTTATGATTACTGGAACTTGTAATATTAAAGTACGTGCAAGGATAATTAAGAAGCTAGAGCATTTGAAAACTACCACAAATGGCAGAAGGGGAAAATACGCCTGATTTGAGACTGTTCATGTTTAGGATAAATTTCATATACTTTAGATGATAAAAAAATACTATTATCATTGCGATGACAGGTAATTTTTCAGTGTTGATGTATTAATTCCTATGAATATTTAGCTATCATTGTAAGGGTCTACCACTAATTTTTTTTCTTCTTTTCTTCTGTTCCCCACATGCTTCCACAATTCCTGTAGAGATATGCTTCCTTAACAATCACAGAACAGAATCATGGACTCATTTATGTTGGAACAGACCTTTCAGACTGAGTCCAAACCTAACACTTCCAATTCCACCTTTAAACAATTCACAGAAGATCAATCCTCTTCAGAACTATGTCCAAATTATTTCTGAAATAATGTGCTTATAAGAACTTAATGAGCTTTAAATTCACATCTTTTGCTAATTAAGCTTCATTTTCTTGACATTCTATGTGTATATGTGCCTTCAGGGAATAAACAGCTCTCTGATGTAAGGCCCCCAAAGCACGTGTGTGATCACAGGAAATAAAAAACAGCAACCTGAAAAAATTATAAATCACATTCTTTCTATTATTATTATTATGTCAATATAATTTATAAACTACTTTTTAAAAAGTCACATCCATTAATTTTTACTTAAGAGATGAAGGAACGGAACTATATTACTGAGATATACTGTGTTCCTGAAACAATAATCATACATGGTTTAAAGAACTGGAAAATGATTGAATGGTTTCAGAAGACACTACTTTCCCATAGCCTGATCTAATATTCTGCACATTCACAAATTCCGATTTTTTTACAATACTGCAAAACATCGAGCTCCCATTGCTTGAACAGGAAATAAATGTTAAAAACCTGTCTTATAATCACAGATTTAATTTGCATCACTTATAAAAAACAAACTGGAAGAGTCCATTTTGAAGAGTGCAGGTATTTGTAAGAAATGATGCCTGAGAAGAGCGCTGAAAACATAATTAAAGAAAAAATGTATTTAATAGATTCCTTTGCTTTGTATTGTACCATAGCAAAATACAACAGCAAAGTGAATTACTTTTGTATTAAAGCTGCTACTTCTTCCATGACTGCTAATAAATTTTTTTTTACATATTGCATGAATACTTTTTACAAGTTATGCCATAAAAATAAACATACTGTCCTCCTTTCTACCACTGAGCTCCATTGTGGAAGAGCTACTTGCATACACATATAATGAGCACATACAGTACCCGCTTCACAAGATTTATTTCCAGTTTAGAAACTCCAGAAGTTGCTGCTGGATTACAGTAT